CTTTCTTTCCTTTTTTTTTTTTTTCCTTTCTTTCCTTTTTAAGATCAGGTTTTGCTGTACAGTTCGGGCTGGCCTTGAACTCAGTATGTAGCCCAGGCTGGCTTCGAACTCACAACAGTCCTCCTGCCTCAGCTTCGCAAGTGCTGGGCATTACAGGTGTGCACCACCATACCCGGCTTCCTCCCCTCCTTTTGGTGGGAGATGCAGAAGTCACTTTCTTGAAACCGTCTTTGTCCGGTTTGAGTCACAGGACAATGCTGGCCTTGGATGTGGTGGAATGCAGTGTTCAAGATTGCAGACAGCTGAGCAGCACGAGTACCCGTTTCTGTCTTCTGGGGTGGATTTAGAAAGCTGGAGTTCCGAAGTACTTGGTAGAACGCACCAGCCAAACCATCTGGGCCTGGAGTTTGAGTGTGGAAAGGTTTATAACCATGAATTCAGTTATTTTAATGGCATGAGTTGCTATGTTGGTGGAACTGAGCCCTCGGTTTCTCTGTGGGTGAGTTTGGGGCTTAGCTTCTTGCGGTGTGGCTCCGAGTCATCCAGACGTGGGTCTGTGTGTCCTTTGTTAGCCTTGAGGCACCTGTGGGGCCCCTGGTCACGGTGCTTTGTTTCCTTCCTGCTGTGGGGAGGTCGTGTTCTTGTTCCTTTTATCAGATTTTACTGGTACGTTTTAGATGATATAAAGATCACACCCTTTGTAGGGAATCTATGCTTGTACATGATACAGCTTCTTTCTTCCCATTCCCCTGCCCCCCTAGCCCCTAGTTGTGCCTTTCGTTGGTAAGTCTGGATGGAGAGTTACTCACTGTATTGATTTTTCAGAGAACCAGCACGAAATTTCACGCATTTTTGGTCTTTCCTGTTTCCTGTGTTTGCCCTCTCGCCTTGGTGTGCCCCTTTCAGCTCCTTGAGGTGGCAGCTTGGTTGCTACCTGGGGCCACCTTTGCTGACTCAAGCCCCAGGCACTCAAGAGCGTCCAGACGGCACGCTGGCCTCAGCCCAGGGTGGTGGTGTTGCGGCTCCATCGCTTTCCTGTCCTGTAACTCATCTTCAGACGTCTTCCCCTTGGCCAGGGGTTATTTGAAACTGTGACGTCAGATTTCCAAGTGCTTGGGATTTTTCCAGCTGTGCTCTGCGTACTGATTTCTAATTTGATTCCGTTAGGGTCAGAGACTGCACTTTGTAGGATTCTACAAACCTGTACCTGTGTTAAGGTTTATTTCATGGCCTAAAAGGTGACCTTGCGGAGCAACCATTTGCCCTTGGTGTGTATTCTGGGCCAGGCACACCTGGAATTGCAGCACTGAGGGAGGCTGAGGCAGGAGGATCATAGCTTCAAGTCCCACCTGACAACTAGGACACTGTCTCAAAGTAAATTGAGAAGGGGTAGGGATGCAGCTCAGGGTGGAGGGCCCTTGGATTCTCTAGTATTGCAAAAAGTGAAGCAGCAAGTAGAGGTGTGTTGTACTGTCTTGGGTCCAGGCGGGTTGTATGAATGTCACTAGCGGCATATCAGTTGGGTGAAGTTGGCCAAAGGTGCCATCAGGCCTTTTCTTTCCTCTCAGACACCTGTTTTCTTAGTTGCCGAGGCGCTCTTGGCATCTCTGTGTGGGGAGAATTTTTCTGCCTTCTCTTCAGTTCCGTCAGCATTTGCTTTGTGTGTCTGGAAGCTGGACTCAGCTGCGCCCACCATTAGGCTTCTCCATTGCCCCTGTGCTCTCTTCCCTGTAGTCCCTCCCTTTCCTGACACTCCCTTCCTCTGAGGCCGGCTGGGCGGCCTTCTCTGATGCGCCCGGTGAGGTGTACCCCGCCCCCCGTCCCTTTGCCCTGCCTCCGTCACTCTGCGCGAAGCGGGGCCACAGGTGGCTGTGAGTTATGTCTTGGTTGTTTCTGGCGTGACCCTCTCTCCCAGTGGTGGTGAGTGTGAGCTGTTTGTACTTCGTGGCAGTGCTGACGTACTTAGCGTCTGTCTGCCCTTGCATGATTTTCTGTGTGGCCCTGTTTTTGTTCCTCACCCTCTTCCTTAGCTGGAACGTGGAGATCTGCTTTGACCAGTTCATTTGGGGGTCCCTGAGGCATTGAAAAGAGCCGACCTCTAGGGGTTCCTGATCAGGACAGTACTGGGAGGGCGCAGCCTTTCTCACTGAGCAGGGTCTTCCCATCCGTGGTGGACAGGTCTGAGGTCTTTGCACAGTCTCCCTGGGCCCCCTGGAGCAGCCCAGGTCTGGAAGGACCCGGGTAGGCAGTAGCGGGGTGACGTCACACTGCTCTGTCTTCTGCCATAGACAGCTGAAGAAGGGCGGCAAGCAGGCGTCGGCCTCCTACGACTCGGAAGAGGAGGAGGAGGGCCTGCCCATGAGCTACGACGAGAAGCGGCAGCTCAGCCTGGACATTAACCGGCTGCCGGGGGAGAAGCTGGGCCGCGTGGTACACATCATCCAGTCCCGGGAGCCGTCTCTGCGGGACTCCAACCCCGATGAGATCGAGATCGACTTCGAGACCCTGAAGCCCACCACACTGCGGGAGCTGGAGCGATACGTCAAGTCGTGTTTACAGAAGAAGCAGCGGAAGCCCTTCTGTGAGTCCCTGCTTCCCAGCCACAGCGTGCCAGGGCTGTGTTGGGGGCTTGGGCCGTGGTGGCCTCTCTGAGGGTCTCTTGCACCGTGCTCATGGGGGGGACCCCCTTGACTGGGGTCAGATGTCCACAGCCCTCATGGGACAGACTCCTGTACCTGCTCAGGTGCCCCAGAAGCCAGTGGCATCATCTGACAGAGCCAGTCCCTGCCTGGGGCTGCAGCGCTGAGGCCTGGGTGGGAGGTGCCCCAAGGAGCCCTGGCCTCAGACGGCCGGGGCGGGCGCAGCACTTACCACCCTACACTGTCCCTGCCCTCCCGGGAACGGGCAGCCTCCTTTCCCGGGGTGGATAGGCCCCAGGACCCGCGCAGTCCCCGCACACCACTCAGAGTGATCGGAGGCTGCAGACCAGGATCCCGCCGCCTCGCCTTGGACAGAGTGGGCAGAGGTGGCTGGGGGGGGCGGACGGCCACCCTGCACTTAGCCAGCCCGGCACAGCGGTGGGGACAGTCTCGGCTTTATGAAAGTTTCCCAGCCAGTGTTGGCAGCACGTGGTGTTTGCAGCCCTTGTGCGGACTTGGTGCGCGCTGCCTTCATGCCCCGCCTCTCCACTCCTCCACCTCGGTTCCCTCCATTCGAGAAACACCTCTCTCCCTGTTTCCTACACCTGTCCTTTATTTTCCTCCTTATTTGTACTTTGGGTTTCTTCTATAAGAGAGGGCGCGTGACCCTGAAGCGTGGGTGTCCGATTTACTTCCTTTAGCGTCTCAAGGTCGCAAGGTAACTCTTTTCCCACAAAAGACTCAAGCACATCCTTCCTTGTGGAGGAGTAGCGCCCCGTTGTGTAAACACCACCCTTCCCTTCCCCACTTGCCCGAGGCAGACGTCCAGGCTGTGTCCGGGATGTGTGACGAGCTGTGCGGCCATCAGCTCGGGTGTGCGGGGATCACTGACGTGAAGTCTGGCTCTGTCGGAGGATAGCAGGGGAACAGCTGGGTCTGGATTCCTGGGCTGTGCTCGTGGAGAGGGCCAGCAGCTGCTGTGGTTCCACATTGTTGCAGTTGGGAGCCCAGGCAGCAGCTTTGCTGCCCCAGCTGGACAGGCTGGGCAGGGCGTGCTCGCCACCCTGCAGGGCTGGGCCTGGTCACCCAGCCAGCCAGCCCTGCTCTGTCCCCCACAGCGGCAGGTGGGAAGAAGCAGGCGGCCAAGTCGAAGGAGGAGCTGGCTCAGGAAAAGAAGAAGGAGCTGGAGAAGCGGCTGCAGGATGTGAGCGGGCAGCTGAACAGCAAGAAGCCCCCCAAGAAAGGTACCCAGGCTGCACGCCACGTCTGCAGGGTGGTGGCCGGGAGGGTACCTGCCGGGCCCCCAGCTGAGGGTGTCGGGGTCAGGCTCGGCGCCGTCTCCCTAGCCAAGGCCCAAGGCTCCTGAAGCCCCATTTTCCTGTCTGTGAGCCAGCACGTCCCAGGATGATGTGCCCACCCTGGCCTTGTACACCCAGGGCTTTACATCCACGCCTCCTTCCTCTGAGGAAGAGCGCTGTCATCTCCCTGGCTCCTCCAGAGCAGGCTGCTGGCTTGGGCACCGTAGCGTCTTGGTGGGTTCTGTAGCTCCCACAGCTGTGTGTGTACCCTCTGGGTCCTCTAGCCTCGTGTGGCTAAACTACATCTTCACCCCTTTTTAATTTTGTGTTTTGAGACAAGGTCTCTTGCTAAGTTGTCCTGCCTCAGTCTCCCAGAGTGTTGGGATGACAAGCATGCCACCATGCCGGCCGAGTAGACTGTACCGACTGTTCTCCCCAGGAGGGGCGGGTGTGTGGCCCGCCTCAGTGACCTCGTTAAGCCGTCACGTACTAAGCTGCTGGGTCAGGCTCAAGGTGTGTCATGCTAGAAACGCATGGCCCAGCCAGCGGGCGAGCAGGCAGTGAGCTTCTGTCCTGTGTCTCCGCAGAGAAGACCAGCTCGGCGCCCTCCGGGGGGCCGTCGCGGCTCAGCAGCAGCAGCTCCTCAGAGTCAGGGAGCAGCAGTTCGAGCGGCTCCAGCTCCGACAGCAGCGACTCCGAGTGACCTGGGGCGCAGCCAGAGCAGGACAGACGGACGCCGCACGTGTCGAGGCTCTGCGTGTCCCCTCCTGTGGTCAATATACTCCTTTCGTTCCATGGTGTGCAGGTTTCCTTTGCTTCAGTGTTACGGTATCTCTGGTTGTGCTCCAGTAGGTCATGGTCCGCCCTTCCTGCCGCATGCACGCGGCCACTTCCTGGGAGCCACAGCCACACTGACACCAGAGGAGGCCACAGGGTGCAGTCCAGGACCTGTAGCAGTGCCCTCCACCCGGCCCCGCCTGCCCCACGTCGGGAGCAACTCCTGAAATGGGTGCTCTGCTCAGCAGCTGCCCACCATGCCAGCGAGTGGTCTCTGCCGCCTGGGCCACACGCCCGTGAGTTCCAGGCTGGGCTGAGTGAAGGGGCTGCAGCTCACTCAGGTGGGCAAGGGATGAGCGCCAGCCTCTTCTGCCGGCAGCAGCGGCGGTGGCGGCGTCAAGAGCCCCGGGAAGGGAGCACAGCCACTGTGTGCCCAGCGTGCAGAGTTCCGGACACTGAAACTTTTACCTCAACTTAAAACAAAAATTTTAAAAAAACCACAAAAGGAGACTTTTTGTAAAGTTCAGCGATTTTCTACAGAGGTCCAGCCCAGTGTGTCCACGCTTCCTTCATGCTGCCCAGCTGCTGCTGCCGCACACCCTGGAGCCACTCCCTCAGTTTTATGTATATATAAATACTTTATTTATTAACATCATTGGTCAATTTTTTAAAAAAATGAAAAAAAAAAAGCAAAGAAAAACACAAAACTGTCAAAGAAGTGCATTAAACGCAGCAACGGTGACGTCGGCTTCGGCCGTGGAGGAGACCCAGGCCCGCTGCCTGCCTGGCCGGTGCTCACATCTGCACTCTTCCTGGGCTTGGCTTTTGGGTTTGGCTTTTGGGTTGTTTCAGATTTTTATGTGTTTGGGTTTTTGGTGTTTTTTTGTTTTTTTTTTTTTTTTGGTATAAACTTTGGAGACTTACAAGTATAGACACTTTCCAGCTCCAGCACATTCTAATTTTTTATGTTGTTTGTTCAGTTTTCTTGTGTCCATGCTGGGTCTCTTGAGGACTGTTTGAAAGAAAGCAGTGTAGGGAACCCCCATTCTATAACATAAGCTTTGCATTCTGAGAGAAAAGAAGTGTATAGGAAATCCAAGTCTTGATTTCTTTTTTTAACTTTGTATTGTAAAAAAAAAAAAATATATGAGAGTTTACCAGAAGGTTCTGTTTGGGTTTTCTGTTTTCCGGGGCTACCACGCATTTGGCCTTGGAGTGTTGGCTCTGCCTGGCTGCATGCGGAGTCCCTTGCCCTGACCCCTGTGTTCTCCGGGTGCAGGGATCTGGAGGCCTGAAGGTACTCCTGGCTCTTCTACCCCCGAGTTCCCGAGGTGTAGGGCTGGAGCCCCAAGGGCTCGGTGGCCTTTGGCCCGGGTGGCCTTTTGACCACTGGGCTGTGGTTAATGCCTGCACTTTTGAGTGGGGACAGGTACAAGTCAGCAGCCCCCCTGTCAGGGTGCAATGTTTAAAATCAGACCATGATCTCAGACTCCGCTGAGGACGCAGGGTGGGGCTGGCCACGTGTTCCTGGTCACTAGTGGTTCCAACACTTGGAGAGTTTCTGAGTTTTCAGCCATTTGTTGAAACTTTTAAGTCAGTTTTGTTTATAATAAAAATATAAATGGATTTTAAAGTTCCATTTTTTAAAGTTACCCTTGTTTTTCAAAGGTATTTTTTAACAGATCTTTAATAGAATATTTAAACTGTGACTTTAAGGAATTAACACATGACAAAATTGACAGGTCTTTGCTGGGGATCTGGGTAGCCGTGTGTCCCAAAGGTGCCTGCTCAGCCCGAGCCAGGGTGCCTGGGGAACGGCGGGAGAGGTGTCGCTGGCCCGAGAGGCAGCTAGCCCTCTGCGAGGAGGGTCACCAGGGCTGTGGTCCGAATGAGCAGCTGTAGTTCAATGGTGCTGTAACTCTAAGGCTTCCTGTCCAGACTTCAAAACTGTTCTCGGGGTTTTGGCGGGTCACTGACTCCCCTGACCCCCGGGATGTGTCAGGCCGCAGTGGTTGCCATCCGTCACCTCTCCTGGGCCAGGACGCCACAGGAAGTTAGACCTTCCTGGTGGAGGCTCCCTGGGGAAGGACAGGGACAGTGGCAGTGGCCGTCACCACGGGAAGGACCTGAGGACCCTCCCGGGAGCGGTGCTGAGGGCAGGCTGTGGGTGTTGGGGAGGCCCAGAGCCCTCCTCCTGCGGGGCAGCATGAGCTTGCTAACAACTGTAAGACACGTTTTCCTTTGTGTTCGTTTTGATTGTGTTCTTTTGCAGCTGTCACGCCTTTTAAGTCATTTGGGAAGGAAAAATGCCCATGTCAAGAATTGTCACATCAAGTTTTCTCTCTGTCCCCTAATACTGGCATAACACTTCCAAGGAGGTTTTTCTTTTTATATTTAAAATGTTACTTTTCTGTATGATGTGCATGCAAGTTTACCGTAATTTTTCTTAACACTTTTTAGTGCCGTTTCTAGTATATTCCTGTAAATGTCAGTTACTGAAAATAAGTCCAATGTAAGTAGTTTTAGCTTGTTTATTGCAATGCTGGCCTCAACACCACAGAATAAAAATGGTAGAAAGTACTCTTTGATGTTTCTGGTAATCATGGACCCTTCTCCCGGGGCATCTGTTTTGTTTTCATAATAAAAAGAAAAGAAAAAGAATGACGTGTGTGTTCGCACTTTCCACGGTGGCCCAGTCTCTTGGTTGCGTGGTGTGGTGAGCCCGCCCCCCATCTTGATGAAGGGCCCTTGAGAGCCCTGAGCCAGTCAGTGCACCGCCCTCTGCTTGGGGTGGGGACGAGCTGGGCTCAGGGATGTCCCACAGAAAGTGCCACATCCCAGAAAGTGCCGCTCCTTTCTCTTCTGTCCTTGGTCCCTTCCGGGTCCTTCTGCCTCACCTTACACTAGGATGATTTCCTGTGACGCAGGCCCCTGGCACTGGCCCTACCCACTGGGCCCGGAATCTGAAACAAGAGGTGGGAGGGGTCTTTCTGCCACAGCTGACCACACTCGGAAGAGGCCCTGGACGTCACCAAGACTCATTGCGGAAGGAACTGAGGGGGCAAGGCATGTGAGGGTCCTAACACTCTTTTCAAAACAGCCCCCACTTGATGCATGGCCTGGGACGGGGGTTCCTGGGGAGGAGGTTTGCACTGGATCCCAGACAGGCCCAAGGACACATCCACCCCGCCTGCCCTATATTCCTGGGCAGATGGCCCCTTGCAGGCTAAGCGGCTTAGCATCAGCTTTCTTGTGCAGGCCTCAGTACCCAGTACCTGCACCCAGTGGCCCCAAAGTGATTGGCCTGGCAAGTGAGTGTACATCGTAGAGCTGCATATGACCTCTGACCCCATCTCCATGTGTAGGTAGGTGCTGGTGCCATGCTGACCCAACCCTGACTGCCCTTGGGTCTGGTAGCACAAGTAGGTCTGTGAAGACTTTTCCCAAGCAGGGCTTAAACTGAAGAGCTGAAAAGATGTTGACAAAAACACCCAGTAACCCTGGAATAATCTGCATCACTATGGTGCCTTGGTCAGGCGAGTTGCACTCATGTGTGGGATGGGTCCTACAGCTTGGTGCACCATGGGGTCAGCCAAAAGGATCTGGTTCCAGGGAGGCTGCAGCTGAGCAGGGCACTGGCTGGACCCTGAGCCATCTGGAGATAAGGGTCCACAGATATAGGGAGATTCATGTAAGGGGAGCCCCATGTGGGGAACGCAGCCAAGTTCATGACAAGATGTTTGCGCAGACGAGCTCCCAGGGAGCTGCCACCAGGATATTGCAACTGTGACCACACACTGCCCGGCAGAGGACCTGCACATGTGCATTGCTCTAGTGAGGTGTTTAGCTCTGCTTTATGTGTTTTGCAGTATTTATGTATGGGGGCTTCTGGCACTCAGATTTTACTAAGAAAGTGAAAGCCAAATCAGAGCTGAACAGGATGAATGCAAGCATGAGAAAGGGAAGGAGTCTTAAAGGATATTTATTTAGAAAAGCAAAACCAGCTCCGACAAAACCTCCACATGTGCATCGCCATGGATTTTAACTACAGCAGAGGGCAAAGCCTTTCAAAATGGCCCAGGAAAACAGGCCACAAAGGTGGGTGCTGGCTGCCTGTATGCATCGAGGATAGAAGAGGCTGAACCCCCAACAGTGGGCAGCTGCAGCCTGGGGCTGGAGGGAACACCTGCCAGCGGGGAACCCGCTTCGCGGCCCATGGCAGCTTGAAATCACTGCAGGCAACTCTCAGGGCTTAGACTTTGTGGCTTTCCGCAAGGTGTGTAGGACGCACTTCCCACGAGCCCCAGTGCCTGGGAGCCAGTGTGGAAGCCACCGCTCTAGCCACCTCAGCTGCTCGGGTCACCACAGGGTGTGGGCTGGGGGATCTGAGACCACAAGTGACAGCCAGTCCCCGCCCTATTCTAGGTCCTACCCACTCTTCACCAGGCAGAAACTAATACTAAAAGCAACCTCTAGATCTCAGGTGGGTTGTTGTGGGCTGGGGCGCCTCTTGCTTGACATGCTTGGAAGCATGGCCTTTGCTGGGCAGGACCCCAGAATTGCATGTGGAGCCCCCAGCTTTGGGGTACACCTCAGGGGGAGTTGCTGGGCACCGGTTCCTGGGCCTCTTGGGGTCTTCCTGGCCTCCCACTAAGAACTAGGAAGCAGTGTGACAACTGAGAGGTACAAAAGCCCCATTTCCTCAAGGCTTGCTTGGTACCGGGGCTCGGGTTTCATCACATAATTGAGCAAACCTTGGACTGACCCGTGTCCCGGCAGACCTCAAGCTTGTTTTTGTCTCGGACTAAGATGGCCTCGTTTCCATACTGTGAGTACCACATGCTTCGGCTCCTGCTCAGGTAGGTCCCGGGGGGCCCCGATTCCAACCTCTGCTGCTGCTGCTGCCAGATGAGCAAGGAAGTGTCTCGGTAGCGCAGGCGGGCATAGTTTTCCGACAGGGCCTTCTCTGCCAGCGGGACCCGGCCGCTCATGCCCCAGGCCCAGCTCCCGCCTACCCAGCTGCCCTCACATGCGAAGAGCTCTGGCTGCCGTGCACGGTGTTCTGTGGGTGGCTCTTCGGCGGCAGGCCGAGGACTCCTTGTTTAAGGAGAGATCAGGCTCAGACATCTGCAGGCGACATCCTCAGGAGGGTGTGCTATTGGAGACCTAGCCGGCAGAGCATCCCCAAGCCATCTCAGAGCTGTGCAGAGTGGTGCGTGGGCCTCAGCTCGGCCAGGGACAGCTATGTGGCACCGACAGGGTCTGAGCGCCACTCCTGGGGGCCAGTCAGGTGTTCACTGCACGGCTTGGACAGCAGAACTTGAAGAGAGTCCGTTGTTCTTTGGGGAGGGGCATTGTACAGCCAGGCAAGGAGGAGGCCGCTCCTGGGGCCGGCTGTGCACTGACCTGTCCCCACCGGCTTTGGAAGCGGTGGCTGCGGGACCCAGCGTTTGCTTGTCCTTTTGCGGGGGCTCTTGCCCAAGTGATGCTGCAAAGAAGTGAGGGCGCTGTCAGGTGCAGGGCACAGCGAGGCCCGGTGGCACGGACCTTGGCATCTCCACGTCAAATCCAGCTACGCACGCTTAGGGAGCCAGCGCGCGCTCTGCGGACCTGCGCGTGATCGTGGGCTCTCTGCTGCTACAGGGGACGCGGGGAGTGGCTGTGGGACGCCCGGGTCTGGGTCTGGAGGAGTCACGCAGCGGGAAGCAACGCCGACGGGGGCTGGGGGGGAAGGTCGCTCCGCAGCAGCCTGCGCCCCAGAGCACAGGGAGGTCGGGTGGCCCACGATGCGCCCGAGCCGCCCCGGCAGGCAGGCCCTTCCCCGAGGCCGCGGCCCCGCCCGGTGCCGCCGTGCGCCCCTTCGCCCACGCGGGCCCCGTGAGATGCGCGGTCTCCGCGAACTCCCTTGCGCCTCCGTGGGACGCCTCGGGCGGCCGTGGTCCCCGGCTGACCGCTCTAGGTCCCGCGACCCTCCCGCTGGCGGTCGGTGGGACGCAGGGGCTCCTAGGCCGGGGCGGGGCGAGGAGGCTGAGGGGCCGCGTTTCCATGGCAGCGCTCAAGGCATAATGAGCCGAGCACCGAGGCCGGGCGGACTCGCGAAGAGCTGGAGCCATCGATGGCTCCTGGGCCCGCGCCAGACCGACCCACACCGCCGCGCGTGCGCATCGGGGCGAAGAGGGGGCGGGGCCGGGGAAGGCGCGAAGAAGTCGGGAGGAGGCGCGCGTGCGGGCGGCAGTCTGCGGAACCTCGTATTTCCGTATTGTTGCGTGTGTTGTTACTGGGGGAACTATTGCTGCCATTATCATCTCGCCAAAAAGAGTGGATGCGGTTGTTTTTAATTCATCCAGTGTTGTGGGGTCCGCCCTCTCCAAAGCATCGCTGCTCCTCTGCCCGCCTCAACAGCCCGGGGAAGAGGCAAGTTCCCCGCGTCCCTCGGTCAGACCTGCCGCGCGCCCTGCTTTTATTTTTATGGTTTCCCCCAATGCCAGTTCACAAAATTGACCTCACAGGCACCCACAGAACCCTGAACCCACAACCATAGATTGCACGGGTTTGTTTTTTTTTTAAGTAAAGAAAATAGGTTTATTTTGTCTCACATTCTGTCCAAAGGGCAAGAGGCAGCATCAGGTGACAGCCCTCTTCCTGGCGGAGGCCCCAGGTGGTGTGGGTCATCAGGTGAATCCGGCAGGCATGTGCGTGTGACCGAGAGTGTGCTTGTGCATGTGTGTACGTGAGCACATGTGAGTGCGTGTGTGTGTACATGAGCATTGTGTGTGTGCGTGTGAGCATGTGTTACGTGTCTAGAATCCACATTGAGACAGAGCCCTGCTCTGCAGTTCAGGCTGGCCTTGAACTCACTGTGTAGCCCAGGATGCCCTCAAACTCAAGGTGATTCTCCAGCCTCAGCCTCCAGAGTGCTGAGATTACAAGCAGGTGTCCCACCCCACCCTGCCATAGAATGCTTTAAAAGGAACCAGAACAGTTCCTGAAACTGTCCATACACTGGACTAAAAGCTTCATGTTTCAGGCCATTTAAATCTTACATAAGTCCAACCACACAAGAGTAGTCTATGAAACTAATGGGCCAGGAAGTGGCCCAGGGGTACAGCATCTGCCTAGCACACACTAGGTGCAGGCTTCCATCTTCAGCACAGCCAATGTTGTGTAAACAGTAAGACAACTTACATATTTGATCATTAAGAAATACACTTTTCACAAAAATAAAAAAATCCTAGTGTTGTTATGGAACCACACACATTAAAAAAGAGGAGTAGTTAAAGCAGTCTTGATTAAGAAGGACAAAGCTAAAAGCATCACACTTCCTGATTTCAAATCCTATCACAAAGCTGTAATGAAAGAATACCCTGCTGGCTTGCGCACAGGGTTATGAACCAACAGAACAGGTGGGTTCAGCCGGGCCTGGGGGCGCACGCTCATCCCAGCACTCGGGAGCCTGGGGCGGGAGGATTGCCAAGAGTTTGAGGCCAGCCTGGCTACATAGTGAGCTCACGGCCAGCCTGAACTGCGTAGCAAGACACTGTCTCAAAAAACAAAAAGATGGGTTCAGAGAGAGACCTTCATACCCGTCATCAACTGATCTTTGACTTAGGTTCCAGGAACACATAGTGGAGCAAAAATCCCATTTATGAAAAAAAAAATGCAAAAAATCCCATTTAACCTTTCTTTTGCATCTTGTTCAAAAATCAACTCATAATAAATTAAAGACTTAAATATAACACCTGGAAACATACAACTCCGAGGAGAAAACAAGTACAAGCTCCTTGAATCCGCAATCTTTTTTTTTTTTTTGGATTTGACCCTAACCATACAAGCAACAAAAGTAAAAATAAACAAGTGGAGGATACATTAAGCTAAAGTTTCTGCACAAAAAGGGAAACAGTGAACAAAGTGTAAAGGAAACCTATGAAACAGGAGAAGGAAAGATTTGTAAATCCTGTATCTGATAAGGGGTTAATATCTCAAATGTGTATCAGACTCATACAACTTAACAGCAGGAACAACAAGGAATAACTTGGTTTAAAAATAGGCAAAGGGCCGGAGTAGACAGCTCCCCCAAGGTGATATGAAGACAACCAGCAGCTCTGCGGAAAGGTGCTCAACGCCGCTAACCCTGAGACATGGAAACGGAGGCCGAAGTGCAGGTGGCGTAGCTCAGTGATGGAGTGCTTGCTTTGGGGGCCCTGTGTTCCACCCCAGCACAAATGAAAACAAGCAGAAACCCAACCCCCAGTGAGATGGTCTCTGCGCCCCTGTTGGGGTGGCTGTAATCGACCAGGTCCCAATAGCAGATGTCGTGCAGGTGTGGAGCAAGGGAGACCTTGTGAACTTTTGCTGAGGATGCAAAGTGACGCAGACACTGGAAAGCAGTGCAGTGTTCTCCCAAAACATTAAAATTAGCACAGCCATGTGACCCTGTGACATCACTGTTAGATAAATACCCGAAGGACTAAAAACTATGGCACTTCAGAGAACTGGGGATCATTTACAACAGCCGAAACCTGAAGCCAGCCTCATTTTGTTGCCTAGTCTAGCCATGACCTGGATTCAAGCAAGCCTCCTGCCTCAGCCTTCTAATTAGCTGGGATGACAGACGCATGCTATCTTGGCTGGTAAATATTTTAATTGAATGATTATGAAAATACATATTAAAACTTGTGAGATGCAGTTAAAATCATGCCCTGGGGAAAATTTAAAACCTTAAGCACATACATTAGAAAAGAAGGGCGTTTAAAAATTAAAGAGTTAGGCATCTGCACCAAGATGTCAGAAAAATAACAGCGAAAATTTATCCAAAGAAAGAAAGTAGGTGAAAGATTAAGGAGGAAATTAATTTAAGTGGGAAGCAAACATAGAATAAAGAGCAGCAAATCCAACAGCTGGCTCCCTGAAGAAGCTAATAAAACAACAAATTTCTGATTAAGAACAAAGAGGGGCCGGGGATCTAGCTCAGCGGCACAGTGCCTGTCTGGCAAGTGCGAGGTCATGAGTTTGATTCCGGCACAAAAAAAAAAAAAAGAAAAAAGAGGACACATAACTAACAAAAACTGAAAAGAGAATGTACTAGACCCTCTTTAAGCTGGGCATGGTGGCTCATGCGTGTAATCTCAGCTGCTCATCAAGCTGGGGCAGGAGGAGCACAAGTTTAAGCCCAACCTGAGCAACTTAATGACTTAGGGAGACCCTGTCTCAAAGTAAAAAAATAAAAAGGGCTGGGAATGTAGCTCAGTGGTAGAGTGTCCCTGGGTTTAATCAACAAAACCAAAGAAGAAAAGAAAAGAGGATTCTGATATAGAGGTCCCTTCCCAGTCCTCGTCATGGCCCAGGAAGTTTATATTTGTGATCCCATGAAAAATTATTGGAACGCCACAGGTTAATTCCAATCCACCACTTCCAGTGCAACCCATGGCGAGAATAAAGACCCTAAGGCATATTTGTAGTTACGGGGAGCCAAGGGGTCCTATGTCCAGCCATGAGGATGGCCATCCAGAACAAAGGCCTCTACCCAAGGCCGAACTCAGGTTTTATTCATTCATGAAGAAGGGAGTGGCTTGAGGATGAGTGACTGTGGGAATGGTGGGAAGTAGGTGAGTGCCCTGAGCTGGTCTGGGTAGGAGGCCTGAGATCACCTCTGCAAATGCAGAGAGAAGGATATGCAGAAAGAGTGATCTGCGTAGCACAATTGAGATAGTATCTAATGTTTGGGGGTCGGTACTTCAACTCTGATGTGTAATCTTTCCAGCCCTTCTCTCCTGAGGCTCGGTCCCAGCTGACAGCATGGAGCACTGGCTCACACATCCTGCCTCATCCCGGCTCACACGTGGGAACAACGGGTCTGGGGAAACACGCTTGCCATCTTCAAAGACTACCATCAGCACCTTGGCTAGACCGGTATGTGTTGCTTAAAACCAATTGAAGGGATAAGGAAAGGGTCCTAGCCGGCTCAGTACACATCAGTACGTGGAAATAGGGTCAGGCTCAGCCAAAATGGAGCCAATTGCTCCTCTTTCAAGGAGAGACGCCCAGGTGGTCCTCCACAGTTCCCCCTTCTTTGCTTTCAAGAAGCTGGAGCAGAGTCAGTCATGGTTGGCGCCGGGTTGAGAATCCTTGACACACTTTAATGAGAAGAATTATAAACAGGAGAATGAGCACACCAATCCCAATGTAAAACCAAAAGTGAGCTTTGAGATATGCAAATGGATTCAATTGTTCTATAGCATCCGCAAACTTATCCCAATCTCTCATTTGGGTTTCAAATGTGGCTGTCTGTTGTGACACTGACAGCACTTTTCTCCGACGAGCATCTATATCCGTAGTACTATTTTGGTGGGTTGCTCCTTCTATATGTTATTTGATCATTCCCCAAGGATGTAGACTTCTGTTATATGGTACTAGAGTGATAGAAAAGCCAGCTATATTATAGTCACACTTTTTTTTTTTTGGTACCAGGAATCAAACTCATGACCTCATGCTTGCCAGGCAGATGCTTATGCCACTGAGCTATATCCCCGGCCCTATAGTGACACATTAAACCTTGCTGTAACTGCAAACTTTCAACTTGATCTCTCATCCAAAGGACAGAGGTTTCTAAAATGCTCACTCGGATTTGCAACTTTATTTTAATTTCTCTCTGAAATTTCCAGGTGTGATCAGCAGTTTCTGTCCCATCGTCCACAAGGTGAGCAGTTAGTATCAAATCAGCTAATACCACAGAGCCAATAGCTACGCTATCAAAAGCACTAGAGAGGTTATCCCCACTATAATTAATCCAAGCATTCTCTTGGTCGATGGATAAATCTTTAAATTAAGGCCTCTACCAAGAAGGAACTAAGTGAATGATACCATGCCTCCATTACACTGACTAGAAGCCGAACTCCAAGCACCCTGCCCATGATCACTACTGTGAGTCTTACTGTAGAAGGATGTTCAGGCATTATGCAATGAGATAAATAACAACTAGTACATGACAGCATCTTTTGTTGCTACTCTATCAATATATGAGGATCATAAACGCATATGTTTACTTTTATATATCTATGACCTTGTAATACTACCTTGACTTTTTCTGCATCTACCGGCTGCAAATATCCAGTCTGCAGCAGTCCAACATGAAAAGGTAGGGCTAGTTTCCATAAAGTGTGTTGTATAGGCCCGGTTTTGTCATTAATAATGAGACTGAGGGTTGGAGGATTGAGGCCTCTACCTGACCATGTTACTGCCATACATGCATTCTGGAATTCAGCAAGTACCAAGATGGTGGATGATGGTGTTATATAGGCCTAAGTCTGGCTGCTCACCTCTTGAAAACCAATACTTAGTAAAGGAGAGTGAGAGGAAGAAAATTCAGGACTTTTGTTTTGTTTTGTTTTTTGTCTTTTTTTGAGACAGGGTCTCACTATGCAGTTCAGGCTGACCTTGAGATCACTTTGTAGTCCAGGCTGGCCTCAAACTCACATCAATCCTCCTGTCTCAGCCTCCCAAGTGCTAGGATTGCAGGCGTGCTGACCTGGCAGAAAATTAGGTCTATTCAAGAGTTGACACTTTGAGAAAATGAAAAGCTGTCATTCCCCAAAAAGACCGTTCTAGGGATCTCAGGTATGCAACAAGTTTTATTTGTAAATTTAGTCAACATACATAATTTACTTAAAACGTCTATATGATAAATTAAAAACCCCTTGGAAGGCCGGCTCTATAAAAGGGATTTTCCCAGGAGAGGAACCAAATGTGACCTAATGCAACACCATCTTAATCGGCAGAGGTCCAATAGGCTGGCGCAGTATGCTCCTCCTCGCTGCAAGTTCACACTAACTCCGCAAGGAAAAAAAACGAACCTTGGTATTATTTCCTCTCAGTAGATCAGAAAAAAACTAATTATGAGATCAACCACAACACAATGAAAAGCTGCACTAACTAGAATACTAGTAATGGATGATGCTTATTTGTGAATAACTGTCCCATTGTCCACAAGGTGAGCGTGTGAATAACTTATTATTCTAGAGCCTTATAAACAAAATTTCCCAGTTAGTGTTTGCAGTATCAGCTAGAGGGTTAGTTAATGAGGACTAGTTAATGAGGGTAGAATGAGGACTTATGCAAGGTATGCACATAGCACTTCACTACTATATAGAAAACAAGTGCGCTGTGCTTAGGAGAAAACCCACTGGACTGTATCACACACACCCTGATGACAAGACTCCCTACCACCGGTGAATGTAAAACATATACTTTAAAAATGTACAATATATAAAATAGCTGTTATAAATGCACATAGTGTATTCTGTAGCTGCCAGGTTTACTTTCTTTTTTTAAGGAAACTAAGTTACGCTGTGGTTAAGACTTGTATCTTCATCCTTGAAAAAGCCCATATTCTATCACAGTGCCGTATGGTGAGACTTAATAGCCCCAATTGGTAAACACTTGGATGAAGTCATAACCAGTTTTACTGCAAAAGGACCCTGTACAGATTAATATATCAATTCTAGTTATATGTTAAGGTATCAACAGATTCTGGTTATCTGTTAAGGTATCAATCCTGGTACCTTAATAGCAACCCAACAAGTCATTAACACACAGACACGTGCATGATGAGGAGCAAGTACTGTCACGCATCCCTTCTGCATATCAGCAACTTGTGACACCTGAGCAACAGGGCCCAGAGAACTGAGGTCTGTGGACAGTCCCTTTTCACATTCATCCTGAGTGAAAAATGGAATGACTTAAGTACAAATGTAACATATTATAAACCATTTCTTACAAAAAAGCCACAAATTAAGCCAAAGTATTTTACAGAATTTACTACAGAACACCGGGGCTGGGGATTTAGCTCAGCGGCAAAAGCGCCTGCCTGGCAAGCGCAAGGTCGTGAGTTCGGTTCCCGGTACCGGAGAAAAAACAAAAAAACAACAACAACAACAAAAAAACAGAACACCATAAAATTTGCCTTCACTTAAGCTCTCTCTCCAGTATCCAGCAGGCACGATGGTGACTTTCTTAGTGTGGATGGCACGCAGATTAGTATCTTCAGATAATCCCACTGGGTACGCTTCCCTCGCCTCTTGAAGGGTACCAGTGGCTGCACTCTGACACCTCAAGTCGGTTTGAAATCTTGGGCACTCTCTCTCACCAACCTCCGGAAAGGCAGCTTCCAAATTAGAAGCTTGGCCGATTTCTGGTAAAGATCTCCCGAAGCACCACAGTACCAGCCCTGTAGTGATGAGGTTTCTTCATCCCGCAGGTAGAGGCAGTGCTTTAGTGGCCAGCTGTTTTCAGAGGGCTTTCCCACCGGTGGACTTACGAGCACTTTGCTTGGTTCGGGCCATTTTCTTTCACCCAGTGCTGAAGTCTTAGGCCGTTTTTCCAACCGCCGCACTGGTGTTCAGTCAACAGCTGCAGTTGCCAAAAACAGAAACCATATCCTCTCAACGAATGACCAAACGTCTGTGCCCGAAAGAACTTTTATGGGGAGGGAGAGATGGTGCAAGGAGCCGAGGGCAGGAAGAGCTTGTGCGGGGCAAGATCTTTGTCAGCATCCAGGGTGTGTGTCTTTGTATCAGTTAGGGTTCACTAAAGGAAAAGATTTAATACAAAGTATCTGTGTGATTATATAAAGGGTTACAGGATAGACTTACAATGACCGCCTGTGGAGTCAGGGGTGGAAGAATGCAGAATGACCGACTGCACCCTGGAGAGCTGGAGGAGCCAGTCAGGGGTCGAAGGCCTGGAGCTCACTGCAGAGTCTGATGTGAGCCTGTGTTGGAAAGCTTGAGTCTGTGCTGGAAGCCTGACGGAACTAGAGATAAATATCCAAAGGTGATGGTGTAACCTGGGGCTCCTCTGAAGAACACAAAGAAGAGACTTCCTTCTTCTTTCCCTTTTTATGCCGTCCAGGCTACAGGGTTATTTGTTGGTGCCACCCACATCCGGTATGGGTCTTCCCTTCTCAGTTTGTGGCCTGTGTGTCAATCATCCAGACACACCCAGAGCTTCACTAATCTGCTAAACCAGTGATGGCAAACCTTTTAGAGCTTTCAAGGATAAAAAACAGCTGCCTGCAGCACATAGGTTTGCCACCACTGTGTTAAGGGGTTCTTACTCAAATTGAGTTGACGCATCATAGGTAACGATCATGCTATTTTTCTTTTCACTCTTGTAGGCTAAAACATTGCAAGTGATACTGACCCCCGTGAGGCTAGTGCTTGTAATTCTTTAGATAAGCATGTGACATGTTTTCTGCAAGTTAAAGCTCACAGCAGCTTACCTGTGTTGTGTGGATTGAGTTGCAGAATTAGAGAATAAGGAAGGGCGTGAACGCACTGTGCCGTCTCTGAGAGTTACCACATGTTCTGGTCCACCAATCTAAAGATTATTTAGAGCTAGGCGTGGTGGTACACACCTGTAATCCCAGCACTCAGGAGGCTGAGGCAAGAGGATCCTAGTGAGTTCAAGGCTACCCTGAACTACATAGTGAGACCCTGCTTCAAAAAAAAAAAAGATTATTTAGCAGTTAACTTCTTAAGCATTTAGGTGTGGTTTTCTTTTCTTTCTTTTTTTTTTTTTAGGTGTAGTTTTTCTTTAGAACGCCAGGCAAAGGAAGGGGAAGCAACTCTGCAAAAGACAACCCAAAAGGTGTGACCCCTGTTACATAGGAATTGTATTTACCACTGTTGGAGCGGAAGTTATAGATAACAGGGAAAGAGGCCAGAGTGATCCGTGTGGTGATGGATTAAAGCTTGAGCCACTGGTATAAGACCATGTGTAGCTCAACATAGAGATCAGTACGCATAGAATTGTTGACAAGCATGCTGCATTAGTCACCTTTCCACTGCTGTGACAGAACACCTGACATACACAACTGAAAGGAGAAAGGACTTATCTTGACTCGCAGTTTCAGAGATTTTAGTCCATGCTAGGCTGGTTCCAAGGTGGAAGAAATACCAAGTCAGAAGGGTGTGGTGGAGGAAAGCTGCTCACCTCAGGGCATCCAGGAAGCGGAGGCCAGAGGAAGAACCCAAGAGGAAGGGCAGGGGCCAGATGTAGTCCCCAAGGTCATGCATCCGTGACCCACCTAGGCACACCCAGAAGCGTGCTTTACTAATCTTCCATGCATCTCTCAAGCCATTCAGGCTGACAGTTAAGATTGACTGTCACACTTGTGCATTTACACTTGTAACTGTGAGAGCTCTGAGGCAGTCCTGGGCTGGCAGCAGGATGCCCGCTGCCCATCTTGGTTTCTAACACCACTCTCCAATAAAAGGGAGCAGCACTGCTCAGAGAAATGGCTGATTCTGGGATTGTGTGGGAAACACACAAGATGAGCTAGTGCTAGAAAGCAAGGAAGTGTTCCCCAGGCAAAAACAAAGAAAACACTCACCAGGACAGAGACAGATATCAAAGGACACAGGAGCCAGCCTGCGAGGGTGCCTGATCGCCAGAGCTGGAGTGACTGGAGCACGAGAACGAGTGAATACAGCATTGGATTATCACCCAGAGTAGGAAACAAATAACCCATGAGGGGTGGGGTGTGGCTCAGTGGTAGAGCACTCGCCTGCATGCTTGAAGCCCTGGGTTCCATCCACAGCCCTGCAAAAAGGAAAATAGATAAATGCCCCTGATCCCATACTGACCTAAAATAAATAGCTGATAAAATCAACCAGGGAAGAAGGTAAATCTCGTGTGCAGAGCTCCGAGTAAATTGGGCACATGTTCTGCTTTCCTCAGTGTGGCCGGTGCAGCAGCCTCCTCCCCGACAGGAGAGTGCCGAAAGGAGGGGTTCACCTGACAGTGGAACGACCTGACCTTGACAGCTCAGCCAAGGTGGCTTCAGCCATGACAGGGACGATGATGCCTGGGATCATCTGTACCCTGGAGATGAATGATGAGGAGGGCACCTTGCCTCTGCGCATGCCCAGGCTGCTCGCGAGGATATCAGACAGTTCCGGCTGAGGGTCCTTCTGCAGAATAGTGCCCATCACTCTTCAGGCCTGTCAGGCTGGGGCCTCGGCCCTGCCTGGGTCCACTCAACCCTCATACCAACCCCTGTGGTGCACCCTGCCACCATCTTTCTGTCCTTCAAAAGCACTAAGAGCCATGCCCCTGGCAGCACTTTTGTGTTTGGTTTGGTTTCATTTTTTGAGACAAAGTCTTGCTATGTACATAGCCCAGGCTGGCCTTGAACGCATGATCCTCCTGCCTCAGCCTCCCCTTGCTGTGTGCACCACCGTGTTCTGTAAGTGTCCCTGCAACAGGTTTGCCGAGAGCCAATCTCCTGTCGTTCCTGGAGCAGGGATCCTGTCCAGGTTGCCGTCATGCCAGTCATCACGAGGTACACGTCTGGAAGGCTCGGCGGAGCTGGGGTAAAGGCCCTGAGTTCGAGGAGCCTATGCACACATGCAAGTGTGGACAGGGCTCTGAGTGACCATTGTCTGTGCACACGCCATGCCTACGTCTGCAGGCACAGTGTGGCCCAGGGAGTGGCCGTCCCTCACTGAGGTCCCCCGGGAGCAAGCTTGCTGTGGGGAGACGGCTCCTCTCTGCTGCTTCTCCAGGTCTGAGTATTAAAAAGCCGATTTGCTCTGTGTCCCCAGCAGGCGACAGGATGGGGACTTCAGCGGCAGAGCACCTGCTGTGTTAAGGAAGTGACAGGCGAGCCTGTGGCCCCGCAGTACAAGATGCCTTTGGCCAGCGGATGCGGGTCTGGTGGCAGTGGTGCTGCTGACTGGGTCTTGGACTCAGCTTCTCCATGGCGGGACCAGGACAGCTGCCCTCAAGCCGCCGTGAGTGACGAGAGCAAGCGAGGCCCCCGCCAAAGCCATCCCGCTGCCCTGCCTGCCTGGCGCCATGTGGGCCTCCGCTGCCTGGGGAAATGGTGGCTGCGGCTCTGCGGTCTGTGTAGTAGGGGGCAGCCTGCCCTGAGGGAATACGGCACACAGACCTCGCGGACGCTGCATGATTTTGATGGAATATGATGGGCGAGAGTGTTTTCTTTCTGTTTTGCAGTGGTTTTGTTTTTTTATTTTTAAATCACCAGGTTTGGTGGTGCATACTTGTGATTCCAGCCTTTGGGAGGCTGAGGCAGGAGGATCACTGCAAGTTTGAGGCCAGCCTGGGCTACATAGAGAGACCCTGTCTTTAAAAAACAAACAAACAAACAAACAAACAAACAAAAAAAACTGAAAGCAAAAGTCAGCAGTTTTGGGGGTTGTTTTTGCTATTTTATTCCCTTATGACTCAGTCTTGAATCTAAGTAGCTTACAATAGAAAACTATCACACTACTTAAAGGAAAGAGTAAGGTAAGTATTGAAATTGTCTACCAGCTAAGTAAATAAAAATACAGAATATATGAAGAAAGTTCATTAAAAGACCAAGAAGGTTTTGTTTTTTTGTTTTGTTTTGTTTTGTTTTTCAGTACCAGGGATTGAACTCACGACCTTGCACTTGCTGGGCAGGTGCTGTGCTGCTGAGCTAAATCCCCAGCCCCTAAGAAGGTTTTTTTTGGGAGGCTGAGGCAGGAGGGTCATCAGTGTCAGCCCATTCTGGGCAGTTTAGTGACTTAGCAAGACCCTGTCTCCAAATAAAAAATGGGCTGAGGATGCAGCTCAGTGTGCAGCTCTGTGTGAAGGCCTTGCGTTTAACCTTAGTACCAAATGGGGAGAAGAAAGGCAAAACTCCTTTCCCAAGCCATAGAGAGCAGGGAAGGTGGTGGTTAAGACCTAATTCGGGGTGGTGGTGGGGGAACAGCCATCCTTTCAATTCACTGGCTAAATTCAAAGGCGTACAGTCTGTCCTGATTGGCTAGTTTAAGGGGAGCAAAGGGTGGACCTGAGCTGGGCAGGGTTGCTAAGGGAGGGGAGGGTGTGGGGAACGGAAGGTTCCTGGCTGTTGATAAACTATCTTGGTCCTAGCTACGTTCCTAGCATTTGCACTGAGCAAGCATTTCCCCTCATTTTGGGAGGGGCTGCCTAGGGCGGACCAGTGAAAGTGGTCCTGTGTGTATCCTTTGATAGAAAAGACAGGGCCAAGGTTTCTCTCATCCGAGAGAGACAGAGAGAGAGAGAGAGAGAGAGAGAGAGAGAGAGAGAGAGAGAGAGAGAGAGAGAGAGAGAAGGAAGGAAGAAGGGAAGAAAGTCAGAGTTTGCCCAGGTCACAGTGCCTTCTTGTACCCTTCCAGGCCCCGTGCCCCCAAGTTCCCAAGTGTG